TTAATCAGATGCTGGTTCCAGAAAGAGGACATCACTGTCACAGTGCAACATAAGCTGTTCCACATATCTGGCTGTATGCGGTATTCCAGTTATGCCAGTGTTGTCCAAACTTGGCCACTTTAAGATGAGTGGACTTCAACCCCCAGAATTCCCCAGCCAGCCATGCCGGCTGGGGAATTCTAGGAGTTGAAGTCCACTCATCTTAAAGTGGCCAAGTTTGGACAACACTGGCATAACTGGAATACCGCATACAGCCAGATATGTGGAACAGCTTATGTTGCACTGTGACAGTGATGTCCTCTTTCTGGAACCAGCATCTGATTAAGTCAATTGCGTTATTTCAAAAAATCATAGCATTCTTCAGCAAGTTAGAGGGGCCCTTTGCTATTTTCCTATTCAGTATTAAGGCAGATGAACAAGGATGGCTGGTAGAAGAAGGTGACAGTGAGAAGTTGGAGTTAAGTTGAATACAACAAAGTGTTCCAATAACTTTCTCTGTTTTGAATTAAACGGTGAAATACAAAGTTCAACAAAGATGTTGAACTTTGGCAGTCAACAGGTAACTATTTTGCAAGGGATCCAATTAGTAGTTTTAGAAACTTTGTGAACACATCACAAATGTTATAAGATTATGAGTGGTTCAGGAGAAGAAGAATTTGAAACCGCAGAGACCTGAACGATGTATACAGGGAGTCCCTGGGTTAAGAATGCCTGGGTTTCAGATGACCAATAGTTACGAACGGAGCCTATTGTAGCAAAATGTGAATTAAATACACAATGGTTTGAGTTACACAATACTATTTATACAGTATTATACAATAACATAGTTCTGGCTTATATACAAATTCAACTTAAGAACAGATCTTGAGAATAGAACTTGTTCTTAAACTGGGGACTACCTGTACTACTACTTTGTTTATTCAAATAAAGCTACTCTTCATCTGTATACCTGACAAATACAATTCAATTTGCACATTAAAACTTCCTCTGTGTGTGTGTCTTTCTGAAAAAAGTAATTCCATTAATCTTAATATAGAATTATATCTATGCCTTGCTTCCCTTGTAGCTTGGCACTGGAAATGTTGTACATTAAGTTCTTCCATAGATCCAGACATCAATCTGATCCAAAGCTGGTTGAGTTTTAGGCTGCCATAACTTGTGTCTTCATATCATAACCTGGGAATGGCAGATGCAGAATTCAGAGAAATGTTTCTATATACTCAAGTGTTTGGAAATTATTCAGGTGATGGCGAGGCAGAAGGAATGTTTTTTGGAAAATGGTCTTTTTAAAAATACTGTAAAAACCTTCCTTGATAATTACCCATTTTGGTGTTTAGAGGTGACTGCTTTTGTGGATGTAGCCAAAATTGTGTCATGCCTGCCCAAGGAACGGGGAAATGTGCTTTCCTAAAGTCCAAAGCAATTCTGAGGAAGCAAATTTAAGGCAGAAACTGCTCAAAACTGCCATGGAATGTTGAGGATTGGAAAAAGGAAAGAATAGGAGGGAAGAATGGATATCCTGGAAGAGGACAGAATTTGGCCCTGCGGTGTGTTTTTTGTTTTTTGTTTTGGATTATGGGCTACTTTTCAGCTATAGCCTTCAAAGAAGCATACAAATAAAACTTGAGAACATTAAAATGAGAGGCAAATCACACCAAGTGGACTTAATGGACATGTGTCCATGTACAAAGGATGAATAAAAGCTGTACCAGCCGAATGTATCTTGAAAGACTCTTGTAAACTCTCATTAGTATTTGTTGCTCAATTTATATCCTGCCTTTTCTCCAGGACCTCAAGATGATCTGTAAGGCAGATTGGTCTGAAAGAGTGGTTACTGCAGGATTATCCAGTGAGCTTTGGTGGCTAAGGATATTCTTGAACCATGATCATCATCCTTGACCAGTGTTTCTCAACCTTGAGTGAGAATGCTGGTTGTGAAATTCTGGGTGGGCAATTCTGGGAGTTGAAGTCCACATATCTTAAAGTTGTGAAAGCCGAGAAACACTCCTAGACCAATGCCTTTACCAGTATGCCCCACACACGTGGAAGATACAAGGTCACAACAAAAAAAGTTTGTCTCCATCTACTATCTACCTTGCTTCAGATGAAAACATTGATGAGGGCCTTGTAGATCTCTCCCTAACACCTCTCAGGTGCCTGGGAGAGTAGACCACCTTTTAGGAATCCATGGAAACAAAGGTGCCAATTATTTTCACAATTTGGTAAGGATCTAGATGAACAGCAGAGGGAGACAGAGCATTGAGATTTTATTTGCAAGAGGTGACTCCAGTTTGCATTGACTTAAATATTTATTGATGGGTAATGATTTATGCCTACCATGGTCTTCGTATGAATATCCAGAAGAAAGTATACCTGTTTTCCCCAATCAGATGATCTTAGGAAGCATTTTAAGGGGTAAAATAGAATTTTAAGCCAGAGGGGCATGTGTGATACTCTTGTACCTGGGTGTGCATAAATGGATGTACATATACACGCCAGCCACTGTTCACTCTACAAAAAAGGGTAGGGCCAGCATAAAAAAATTGAATTCTTTACTGATTGAAATAAATTGCCTGTACCGTAAGACATCCCTTTGTAAAATCAATGGATCCCCCATCTACAGTGGGGCAAAAAAGTATTTAGTTAGCCACCAATTGTGCAAGTTCTCCCACTTAAAAAGATGAGAGAGGCCTGTAATTTTCATCATAGGTATA